ATAAATTAAGTTTATAATATTATTTAAAGTTTATCACTTAAAATAATATCATAACTCTTCAAAATTTATTTTAATCAGATTTAATATTTATTAAATTTATCATATAATTTACTATTGAGAATTACTCATTAATATATAATATCATATATATGTTTTCACGTATGTTAGAAATACAATGTAAATTAAAAATAAGATAATAATTTATAATATATGAATAAATAAATTTTTAAAGTGATTCTACACGAAGTAATCTCAAAGTGTGTTCTTGGTAAGCAATATTATTATTATAGGAGAATAATTGTATCAATTTAATTTGAATTTCTATAATGAATGCATTGATTTGATCAATATTACAGTTAAAAAGGCAGAAGAACATGATAAAAGTGGTCCATACGAGCATGAGTTATAAGTTTATATCTCCATTATTAAAGATGTTATTCTTTATACAATGCTTGAAATGCACACCAATGACAGCATATCTCCCTCTGAGCTTCAATCTTTGAGGCTCCACATGCTTTGTCAGTGGTGAGTACCACAACAGAACAATGTAATCACCATGAAGCCCTCACTCAAAAGTGCATATACAGTGTTTGCCAACTCACACTTATACTTCTTCGTCAAAACCTATGTATCACACTTTCTTCACATGAATTTGTTAATCTCAGCATAGCCTGTACCAAAATTTTATCATTAAGCACAGTCATTTTAGCTTATATTTTCACTGTTGAACGAATAATAATAAATTAATTTTAAGTTTAACCCAATGTTGTGGTAGAAACATGCAGGGTTATAATATCTATGAGTTTGGAGTATTCTCTTCAAGAGCATATACCAATGCAATGATAGCCAAGTTTTCATTTTCTTGCTTTTATTGTCTGCATAGGTTGTGCTGTCTTCAAATGGAACCACGAAAGGGAAAGAGGTATAAGGTGCACTCGTCTGTATTATTTTTTCTGTGTAGGATAAGGACGTTATAAAGACATATGTGAAAAAACTATAATTACTCAGATTGCGTGTACGAACCAAGGAATGCAAAGTCAACTTACGAGAAAGATATACACTGATATATATTATTAGTGTTTATAGTCTTTGATAAGGTATATATCAAATACTAGAAGAATGTTTAATACTTCCACTAACATCAACATTAATCTATGTTAAGGAATATCTTAGAGAACACATTAATATTAAAATTTGCTAAGGCATATAATATCCTAACACACCTACATCACTATAATTAGGGTTTAGAATTTAAGAAAAATGTGAATAAAGTTATTAATTAATATGCGATTATTAGTTTAAGTTATAGTTGCATAATTATTTAATTTTTCTTAATATATTTTAGATAACTTTTATACGATGGATGATAATTTTTTTTAAAAGTTTATGAGAACAATTTTTATAATTTTTATAGACAAAACAATATAAAATATATATAAATTTTAAGTTTGTTAATTGAGATTATTAAAATTTATATTTAAGATATTGTTTGTTTTGAAAATAAAAATTAGTTATGATTTTATTCTTTAATAATATAAGACTATTTAGCGTTGTTGGAAAAGAAATTATATTTGTATTTTTCTTCCACTTTTTATTTTTACTTTATTTTATTGAAAAAACCTTCTTTCGTCAAATATAGAGATCTTTTTATTTCACCACGTTCCTTTGTTTTGAATTTTCGAATATTGAATTGTTATTATTATTATTACACAAAAACAATAATTTCTTTTTTATCGACAATTATTTAATGGCAATAACTTTTTTGTAACAGGTTTTATATTTTTTTTTACGTAAATATACTTGATAAATATTTTCCTCCGTAAATATTAAGTGTTGTCTTTTGTAAGATAATTTAAAAAAGACACACAATAATTAATTAATAACAGTTTTATTACATACTTTTTAATTTTTATTATTCTCAAATACTAAACGTAAAAGAAAAAATATATTAATGCACATTTGTAAGAGAAATACTGAATGATTGTTTTGTTTTATTCAGATGTACTTTTTACTTTACTGATAATGAAAAATCGCGTAATATTTTTAAATATGAGAATGCACAGCGAAATATTGTTTTGTGTAAAAGTTATGTATATAAGAATTTTTTGGTTAAGAAATTACGTGAACTTAAAAAAAATAGTTTTTAAATAAAAAATATTATACTTTTTTCTCCGATTAATGCAACTTTGTTTGATCCAGCACTTACGGATACAATATAAAATAATTATTTTAAAAATAAAGTGTAATTCGAAAATGTTTATCTTTTTACATTTAATTTATAAAATTTTCTAAATTAATATATTTTCACATACATAAATATTTTACATTTATTTGATATTATTAAAAAAAATTATATTTTGTTATCTTATGTCAAATATTTGTAAAAATGTCTCCATATTATTAGTCAATTCTTTAATTCATATCTCTGAAGAGAAATCCCATACGTCATTAAACCACAACGTATCAATGACTGGATTCTCTTATCCATTTTATTACACACTTTATACCTAAGATAAAACCAAAAATTAAGTCACAAATATCACTTAATTAAATTTTTAATTTTAAATATACAACTATGTTAAATCTAGTTAAAAATTTACATACATTTAAATATAAACGAAATTTAAATTATAAAAAGCTATTTTCAAAAGTTTTCTTTTGATTGGCCAGTGCGGCGGGCGCACGCGAAACGAGTCAGAAGCATTCCTTTAAAAGTAATTAGGAGAGTGGAAATAAAGAAAAACCAAACAAGCCCTTAAATGACTAGTAAAAGCTAATCATACATTCTGACGTGATAATTAACAAGCATAAAAAAAAATAAAAAAATCAGAAATAATCATGTTAGGCTTTTGCTCTCTGCACCACTGCCAGAAAATAAAGAATGAAAGGGAAAGGTGCTGCAACTGGTGATAAGAATAAAGTATATCCACACCTTTCATTACATGTTATAGAGACACAAACTAAGAAGAAAACTTAACTATTTAAAATAGTTTATTTAGATTAATCATAAATGTTTTCAAATTTGATCACTTTACTCACTAAATTAAGAGAAAAAAGATGTTTGTCCTTGATTTTAAACTAATATGCGAGACTTTAAAATATGCATACTAAGAAATATAAAATAAAATAAATGGCATATGACAGTAAAATAGGGAGAAAAATGATTGTCTATAATCATAATTCAATTTAGTTCAAAATAACTTTCTTACCTAATGTTGTTTTATGTCTCCAACAACAGTACATTAAGACTTTTTAGAGACTTGTTGAATCATCACCAAATCACTTGTGAAAAGATGAAACTTACATAAAGAAAAGCATAGAGAAATGGAAGACAAGAAAAAGAAAGAACATAGAAAAAGAAGACGAAAATAAAAAGAATAGGACCTACATACCTTACATTCGATTCATCACTCTTGTGTCCTCACATTGCTCCACCTTCATGTTGAATGCACGAACCTCATAAATGTGACATAAAATGGACCAATTTTCATTAATATATGTCACATTTTATCATATAAAAATTGTTTTGAGAATGGATCGAGGTTAACGGTTTAAGTTATGTTTTTTCTTTCAAAGTTTGAATTATTTCTAGAAATTTAAATATTGTACTAAACAATTTAGAAAATATTTATACAAGACATTCTGATGTAAAAATTAGATTAACATTGATTGTTAACAATCAATACAACAACAAATGGTAACCCACATTTTTACTTCAAATTTTTATTTATAAATTTCGAGATAAACTTAGTTAACTTAATTACGGATAATTATACTTTATTTTTAAGTTGATCAATATTAAGAATAATATACTCTGATTCGTCACCCACTGATTTATTTAATGACCGATTGAGTTTATAAGTAACTTATTAAATGATCTAAACTATAATTAATCGTTTAAACAGTCATACAAATACAAAAACATATAATCAATTTAAATGATTTGTTCATTGCTAAGAATAGTATAAGATCTTAGCAACTTCACCACAAATACAAACACATCATTATTATCAACAATGGTTCCCTCATAAGAGGCCTATGCACTTGCATCTTCCACATACCCATCACCATTTAAGGTTATCTCCACAATGGTAGAATCCACTTAACTAACTTTTCTTATCTTTCATGAGGCATTTTAAAAAGGAAGACTTAATTTGTTTAAATCAACATTCTACTTTTTGCAACATGTTTCTTTCATTTCTCTCCACACTTTCCGGTGTATATGTAGTTAACAAAAAAAAGTAAGTCTAAGTTATACATGTGATTAACTTTGCATGATGCTTCTAGTTGGTTCGGTATCTTTCATGATCTCTTTCGAACAACATAAACTTTAGTCTTTGAAAAGTTACATTTATGACAATGTTAATGTGTTTTTTCAAACAATACGAAGTCTAGTCTTTACTCAATTTTATGACAGTGTTAAGTTAAGAATCCCGTTCAATATGGTAATAGCCAAATTAAAATATATTACTCGGAATAATATTTATTTTGTAAAGTAATTTTAAAAAATCAAATTAATCAAATCTTTTAAAGAACATTAATATTTTGACAAGGGAACCATAACAATTTTGGGGAGTAAAATAAATAAAAAGATATAAAATAAATATTTCCTTATAGACAAATCAGATCAATCAAATTTGTGAGAACATTCCCCATCTTGACGCCCAATTATAAGGAAACAACTAATTTTTGTACATAATTATTAAAATATAGTAACTATTTAATATATGATGTTAAAATATAATTTCTAGTCTTGAAATATTGTCACCCAATATTCATATACTTTCCTTAAGTATTATTGTCATGATAATTTTTCATTAAATGCCATAATACTTTAAAAAGTTATAATTAAAAACACTCTTCAGTGGTTCAGAATGTAAGAGATAAATTTAAACCACAAGTGCATAAAAGTTCAGCAATTTTGAAACTCGAGTCCCTATGAACAGACCGGCCATCACAGAATTTTCTTGGACAGATACAAAGAATTATTTTAAAAGGGCCTTTTGTGTAAACATTTTCAGAAGAAAAAAAAGAAGAGAAGAAACCTTTGAACTCTCTGCGTGAGACTCACCAGAAACACAGGGAGAGTACAATCTCGTTGTACTCACAAACACTGAAACATATATATATATATATATATATATATATATATATACACACACACAAGCTGGTTTTCATGTCCATGGCTGGTAGTACTGAGCAAGGTGACAGATGCTCCTCCATCATCACCATACCCCTTTTGGAAGATGAAAGAGTGCACCGATTGAACGGCTCAGATGAGGTGTTGGATGCCAAAACTTGGGATCTGCACACATCTCATGAGGGTAACACCTCCTTTTTCAAGACCTGCTTCAATCTCATTAATGCCCTCTCAGGTAATTTGCATGCCCTCTCTTTCTTTCTTTCTTTCTTCGTTTCGCATGTATTAAAAAATGCTCCTTTTTAATGAAAGTTTGAATCTTGTTAGATTCTATTTGGTGGGTTGCAGAATCATTGTTATACCATATATACACGATGATACATATGCACTCTTTCTTTCTTTCTTTTTCTTGAGTTTTGGTCCTTTTTGGTATCTTGCTTTCTTTAAGGATCGAAGATCTTATTGCTACATGAATGCCTTAAAAACTGATAACATTTTTTAGAGTTTTTCATGGTTATTTGTCTGACAGTGAGGGAAAATTCATGGTTATTTGTCTAAAAACGTCTGAAGATTTTAGACGTATATTAAACTATTGCTAATTATAATTAAAACTTAAGATTTCTCCAATAGTAGAAGGAGGTGTGAAAGTTTTGCTTTTGGAAGTTTTTAATCTGGGAAAAAAAATCATCAGATTCTGGGTTAGAAAGTTTTGCTTCTGTAACTACTTGACTATAATAAGGGAAAGAATATTGGGTTGGAGAACTCTAAATAGACATTGTTTATGAAAATTTCAATAAATGATTATTTATTTACATGGCATCTGCTTTTAGTTTTTGAACTTGACTTTTTCTTAAAGTATATAATTTTATTTAAAATAGATGTAAAATCTTTCTACGAGGTACTCTTTAAGTGTAAATTGATAAACATACATTCTGATGAACATATTAAAGGCCTCAATCATAGGCACTCAAGTATATTTATTTTTGGTTCGCATCACATTAAAAATCCAGTAAAACAATATATTATAAACAACATTTTTGCTTATTTACTTAAATTTTTAACTTATAAATTAAAATTTAATTTTTGTTTATTTTTTTAACTTACCGGTTGAATTATAATTTAAAAAAATTACTCTAAATTATATAATAAGAAATATTCAGTCAGATTGAGTTAATCTTAGTAATGTCATAAATTCTTATCCCTACTCAGAGTTTGATCTGGATACAATGTTTTAGTTTAAATTTTTATATACTATTAATTAAATAATTTAATGTAATTTATGAATTTTAAAATAATTATTATAAAACTTAAAATTATATGATGTGTAATAATTTTAAACCGAGAAAAGTGTAAATTGATAATTAAAGTTATTAAATAATGTAGAATCCTGTCATAATATCTTAATAAGTGCTGTAAAATGAATTAAATGAAAATAATAATATTTATTATTCTAAACATAAAATATTTGTATATAGTAAATACAATAATTAATAAAAAAATGTTACAGAAAAATTATAATAATTTTGTTTTATGATATACCTGCTCTGGTTTTGACTTTTGTCCATACATGTAGCTTTTGTATGTGTTCATTTAAGGATGTAGCACAGAATAAGCACTCACGTGACTTTGTGTTACAGATGTTTCAGTGATACATAAATGCTATTTTCCATTATCTCTAAAGTTTGAAGTATGCTGCACACTGTACAGTTACAAATCCAACCGTTGGAATTTTATTAGATTTAATTTTAGATATAAATTTATAATAAATTAAATGGACAGGATTTGTGAAGTTCCCCTTCCAACTACAGACAATTAATTAAATACACTGATAATATAAATCCCTTTCAATATGAATACATAACATATTGTAAATATGACTTTAAAAAGAAATTAGAAATACCAATACATAACATTTCATAATTGGATGACTGTGAACAATAATGTGGATTATTAGTGTGTTTGAAAATTAAATTAAAAAACTAATATATCAATTTTATCTCTCCGTGTGAACAAATTACGTTTCATGTTTAGACCACGTGATATTTAACACGTTGTATATATATGATTAATTTGTTTCTTATCGAATACTTTAAGAATTACATCTATAATAATTTTTAAGGTTAAATATGTTTTTAGTCCCTAAACTATTGGTCGTTTTTGGTTTTCGTCTCTCTTTCAAAGTAAGGTACAATTTGGTCTTCATTCTTTTCAAAATGTTCGTTTTAGTCTTCAAAAAAACGAACGTTTCGAAAAAAATGAGGACCAAATTGTATCTTACTTTGAAAGAGGGACGAAAACCAGAAACCGCCAATAGTTTAGGCACTAAAAACATATTTAACCCTAATTTTTATTGACTAATAGTGTATAGTTTAGGCACTAAAAACATATTTAACCCTAATTTTTATTGACTAATAGTGTAAAAACTATATTTATAATATTTTTTCTTTAATAAATTAATTTAACATATACCCATTTTTTGGTACAAGAATTTACTTCCATGTAAATGTATTTTTTTTATTCATCATACAGTATAACGTGTTAATGAATAAAACAAAATCGTAAAATAATCAAATCTATTTAAAAGAATATTCTCATCTAGTTATATGTTATTATATTATGAATAAATTTATGGTCTTTATAAGGATTGTTTTCAAAATTATATTTAATTTTATTGGTCAAGTAACACTCTTTAGACGAAGAATGATGTAGACAAAGTAAAGCTCAATGTATTGTAGTGTAAAACTTTACATAAACATCCAAAAAACTCAATCAATGCTGATAAAATGTATCAATAGAGAGACTAAATTTAAAAAATTTAAGGACTATAGAAGAAGAAGAAAACCGGGATAATTAAATACTAGTAAAAATGAACTTTTTGTATATTTTAAAAAAAGAAGAGAGAAAAAGTGAGAAATGATAATGTGAAGAAAAGTATCATTCTTTTTTATGGAAGCTTACATGAGTGATTTGTGGTGCTATGGTGTCAGGGGTTGGTATTATCTCGATGCCTTATGCTCTGGCATCTGGTGGATGGTTAAGCATATCACTACTATTTGTGATAGCCATTGCTTGTTGTTACACTGGGATGTTGGTGAAAAGATGCATGGACATGGACCCTGATATCAGAACCTTCCCTGACATAGGTCAACGTGCATTTGGATACAAGGGGAGGCTAATGGTATCGATCGCCATGAATTCTGAGCTCTATCTGGTTGTAACAGGCTTTCTGATATTAGAGGGTGACAATCTTAACAAATTAGTACCAAATATCCAAGTTAACCTTGCAGGGGTTACAATTGGTGGTGCAACAATTTTTACCATAGTTGCTGCCCTTGTTATTCTTCCCAGTCTTCTGTTAGAGGATTTGAGCATGCTGTCTTATGTGTCTGCAAGTGGGGCTTTGGCTTCTTCCATCTTCCTCCTCTCTCTGTTTTGGAATGGTACCATTGATGGCACTGGATTTCATGCAAAGGGAAAACTCTTCAGATTCACCGGAATACCTGCTGCTGCCAGTTTATATGCCTTCTGTTATAGTGCACATCCTATTCTTCCCACTCTCTACAATTCCATGAGAGACAAAACTCAGTTCTCCAAGGTAAGAACACGACAACTTTGGTAGTTCTCTTGCACCACCAACATTCTTAAAGAAACACGAATTAGTGGTTATCTGATTTTGCAGGTTCTGTCTACGTGCTTTTCGGTATGCACTCTTGGTTATGCAGCAGCAGGTGTTTTGGGGTACCTAATGTTTGGAGAAGAGGTTGAATCACAGGTGACATTGAACCTACCAACAAGCAAGTTCAGTTCACATGTGGCAATATTCACGACCTTGGTGAATCCTATAACGAAGTATGCATTGATGCTTACCCCAGTAATAAATGCTGTGAAAAACAAGATTTCATGGCACTGCAACAAAAGATTCACACACACATTTGTTAGCACCTCCATTCTCGTAAGCTCTCTAATTGTAGCTGTGGCCATACCAATGTTTGGATATCTGATGTCACTGATTGGGGCATTGCTAAGTGTGTCAGCTTCAATTTTAGTACCATCAGTGTGCTACTTGAAGATTTCAGGAGCATACAAGACGTTTGGCTCTGAAATGATCATCAACTATTCGATAATAGTATTGGGGGTTACTATTGCTGTTGTCGGTACTTATACATCTCTTGTAGATATAGTTCATAACTTGTAAGTGTTAATGGATTGGATGGTTCGTTTTCCAAGCTGCTTTATTTCTTTCTATTTGAGTGTGTAAAGATGTGCTTTTGTCAATACTTAGAAAACTTGTCTGCACATTTTTGAGTCATAATCTTTGTCGGATGCATCTTCTTGTCATTTGAACATGTTTCAGAGATTGTTTTTGTAAGCAGAGTGTGTTTTTCTGAATGAGGTAATCAGATTTTGTGTTAGAGATTTTACATTAATATAAAACGTAAAATTAGGGAAGAGTTTTGGTGTGACATTTTCTTTTCCTTTTTTTTTAGTTTTTGGGTATTCATTTAAAAAAGGCATAATACCCAATTTTGTCCTCACTTTGGTTCGGAAATCTCAAGTTAGTCCCTTTATAGAAATGTAAGTAAAATGGATCCTTACTTGTAATTATTTGAGACTAATGAGTCCCTTCCGTTAAATAGAAGGAAACGGAGTTAGTGGGCTGATGATGTGGCAGTACTTATTGATTACGTGTCAAAAGTCCAAAGTGTCTTCCTCCGAATGCGTGTGTTTCTCTGAAGTTTCGTGTTTCTGAGTATGTTTCTCCACTTTCCTTCCACCCATCTTCCTTTCCTTTAAGATTCTCAATATCTTGAAATCATAACAATCCAATGGCCTCTCCTCTGTTCCTTCTTCCACCATCTCAATGGCCTCTCACCCAAACCAAACAGGTTCTCCCTCTCTCTCTCTTTCTATATTTCTTCACTCTTCTAAATTTTTCATTTTTCGATCACCCTTTTGCTTGTATCAGGAACGGGAGCTGACGGGCAAGGANGTTATTTGAATGTCTCTAATTACTGGAAAGTAATTTTGAACATGAACATAAACATAGATAGAGCACCTAAGTGATTTGAGATCTAGGGATAGACTCAATAACTTGGTCATTTTTAGCATCGGACTTAAAGCAAATTGTATGTTAAATTGACTAAGGGAAGCAGTTTTAATATAAATTTAGAACTAGTTGCTAAGGGATTAGGACTAGTATGCCTTGATGTGAATGTTTGAATGAAATAATGATATATTGTACAAAGTTTTATCTTCATATGATTCATGAAACCCAATTCCAACAAAGTTTATTTTAAATATAATTTCTTGCACACCAAATGTTTGATAAAATACCAAAAAAAGTTTCTTGTGTTGTTTTGTGCATTTTGATGTCTAATTGAGTTATAAAAGGAAGAATTGTCATGTGATGCACAAGTACATTGGAAGAAAAAAAATTTAAAAATAAACTATATTACTTGGAACGATTTGGTATACTTGCCAAAAAGTTATCAGTTAGACGTCAAAAGGTAAGTGAATTCAATAAAAATTTGAGCGGGAGATTGAAAATTCATTCACTTTATCTTAGTGCGCGGAACCCTCTTCTCTGCTCAAACTTTTCTGGAACGAAGTTTGACGACCATCACATGTAATCTTTCTTTTATTTGATACAAATGCATGTTAATAAATGATAATGCTAATTCTTACCATTATCTAAGCATCATTTTAGTAGCAAAATCAACTCTTCTTTAGCTTATTACTTGCTTAAATCCTCNCCTTGCATATTGCAGCTAGTAAAGGCCACCACTGTATGTAGTATCTCTCTTTTAGGGTTTCGAGGATGTCTTTGGCAGAGGGGAAGGTTGTTTTGAAGGTGATTGGGAAATTGTGCGAGGAGAGGAAGGAGTTGATGGTGGAAACTACAGTTTGCTGGAACTGGCGGTCTTTGTAGAAATCGAGAGTGGGGCGTCCGCCGACGCCAACGGATGAGGGGCGGCTGCTGACGTCGGAGTCGCGGGAGGGGTACTGGCGGCGGTGGAAGTCGACTGGAGTGGGTGGCGGTGGAGGAAGGAAAGAGTCCTTGGGTTGGCGTCGCGCGGTAGGTCTCATCCTCCCCAATTTCTGAATAAAATCCTTTCTTCCCTAATTTATTTCCTAATTAACCAACACACGTAAGCACATTTTTTGACACGTAATCAATAAGAACTGCCACATCATCAGCCCACTAACTCCGTTTCTTTCTATTTAACGGAAGGGACTCATTAGACTCAAAAAATTACAAGTAAGGATCCATTGCACTCACATTTCTAGAAAGGGACTAACTTGAGATTTCCGAACCAAAGTGAGGACAAAATTGGGTATTATGCCTTTAAAAAACAAATTGTGAGACGTTATTCTAAGTAATTCACTACAATAATCCGGTTAATTAATTTCTAAAATTTAGAATCGGTTTTAACAGGATGATAATAGGAATGATTACACCAAGAATGAACTCTTACTACAATGTTTAATAGACTTTACTTAGAATTGTTTTGGTACTGATTTAATAAAATTTAAAAATTAAAATTACTTATTATTGAAATCGATTTAATTGATGCTAACTCGTAATTTTTAATTTTTTTTATTTATTTTATACTTAAGTCAATTAAACTAATTCTAATAATAAAATTAATTTAATTTAAAAATTTATTAAGTTAACGTTAAAATGCCTCTAATTTCATCTAATGAAAAAATAACTTTTTTTTTATTTTGAAATACTTATTCATATAATTTTTAATTTTTTTCTTTCTCCCATTTACTATTCTCAATTTATTATTTTTCTTCTAATATTTAAATATTTTTTATCTTTAATTCAATATAAAACATTTATAATTCTTTTATTGTATTTTATTTAACTTTTTCAATATAAAAATCAAATTCACATTTAAATTAATGTTCACGAGTTCTTCTGTTTTAATTAATTTTGATCTAAAAGTATTTAACCAATTTTGACAAACATTAATATAGTCTAATTGTTTTTATCATTTGAATTAGTTTCTTTAAATAAATAAATAATATTATATTTTTCTTATATTATTTTCAAAACTGATAAATGATTTTTTATAAACAAACATTGCTAAAAAAAGAGGTTAATTTTCAATAGATAGTTACCAATGATGAACCACATTTAAATCAATTTATTAACAAATTTATCGATGATACTGGTTTCTTATCGATGAATATATGCATCGGTAATAGTGTAGGTAAGTTACCGGCGAATATATCTGTCGGTAATACAGTCAGTAAAGGTCATTAGTCATTACCGAGAGAATGTGATCATCGGTATGTACATCAAGTATATGAAATCAGAAATTAAGATTTTCCTCTCTAAATTTCAGTTTAGTAAATATCCTTCTTTCCCAATATCGAGAACTTCTCCTCCGTAATCTCTCTCTTTCATTCACTACCCTTTGCCCTAACCACCATTGCGATTCTGTCTTCCATACTCCTCCATTCACTAGTGAAAAAAAACATATAACGTCACGTGTTCAACGTCTAACCACTCAATAGCCAACGTTAAAAATGACTGGTTACAATTTTTGTAAATAAATACAATTATTAAACGTCGTTTAGAATTATAATTCGACGTAAAAGGATATAAAACGTCGAATTCCTCAACTTTAGTGATAAGTTTGAAAAAGAGTTGTTTTAACACTTATAAATGAGCTCAATCTTATAATTATTCATGTTGTTCCTCAGTGAAAAGTTGTAATAGGGAGTAGATTGTTATGTAAAATATTGTACAGGAAAGAGTGTATTATTTGGACTCTGTCAGTCAATTTTCGCAAAGCGAAAGCCAAAATTCGCACTGCCCGAAGAAGGAAATTCGCATAGTGCACCAATACCTGTGCACTGAGCGAATAACATCAGTTAAAGTGCAGCAGTTAAGAAAATTCGCATAGCGCACCAGTACATGTGCGCTGAGCAAATTAATGAAGTTAAATGACTTTAATAGACGTGACAGAAAGACAAAAACATTCTTCTGACAGAAGTTTCAGACAAAAGAAAGAAATGAAAACATCTCAGGAACTTTCGGAGACTACTTCAAGGCATCAAGACATCATTTTTGCAAGGGATTGCTTCAAATGTGTATGTTTAGATGACTAGGAGTAGTTTTTCTTTCGTTGGAATTGGATGCAATGAACTCACTGTGATGTAATTTTCCTGTTCAATATATCGTTGTTCGTTCATATGCTCTTTCTTGAATTTACTATCATTGTATGGAAATATAATGTTATTTGAATGTCTCTAATTACTGGAAAGTAATTTTGAACATGAACATAAACATAGATAGAGCACCTAAGTGATTTGAGATCTAGGGATAGACTCAATAACTTGGTCATTTTTAGCATCGGACTTAAAGCAAATTGTATGTTAAATTGACTAAGGGAAGCAGTTTTAATATAAATTTAGAACTAGTTGCTAAGGGATTAGGACTAGTATGCCTTGATGTGAATGTTTGAATGAAATAATGATATATTGTACAAAGTTTTATCTTCATATGATTCATGAAACCCAATTCCAACAAAGTTTATTTTAAATATAATTTCTTGCACACCAAATGTTTGATAAAATACCAAAAAAAGTTTCTTGTGTTGTTTTGTGCATTTTGATGTCTAATTGAGTTATAAAAGGAAGAATTGTCATGTGTTGCACAAGTCCTTTGGAAGAACGATACTTTGAACTTACTCTATATTACTTGGAACGATTTGGTATACTTGCCAAAAAGTTATCAGTTAGACGTCAAAAGGTAAGTGAATTCAATAAAAATTTGAGCGGGAGATTGAAAATTCATTCACTTTATCTTAGTGCGCGGAACCCTCTTCTCTGCTCAAACTTTTCTGGAACGAAGTTTGACGACCATCACATGTAATCTTTCTTTTATTTGATACAAATGCATGTTAATAAATGATAATGCTAATTCTTACCATTATCTAAGCATCATTTTAGTAGCAAAATCAACTCTTCTTTAGCTTATTACTTGCTTAAATCCTCTCTTTTATTTAGTTTTAGTAGTTATCTATATTTTGGGCTACATTACGTAAATAATACTCTAATCCCTTGTTTTCTTTGATCTATTTTGATGTTAGGAAGATCCTCCATTACATTGAAGAGTCTCGATGATCCAGGAAGTCATTGATTTAACAGTCATTTTCGCTTAAGCGAGAATAATTTAGCTTAAGCGAGAATGACTATCTTCTCCAAGAAGAATTCTCGCTTAAGCGAGAATAATTTAGCTTAAGCGAGAATTCGGGCAGTATATATACTCACGAGGCAGAAAGAAAAAAGGGTCTTTGGTTCTTTGGAGGTGCGATTTCACGTCTAGAGCTCATGGAGGGCGCGAGGAGCTTGTGGGAACATCTCCTCCTCT